TAAGTCGGGTGCTGGGTGCTGAGGGGAAGTCCCTAAGTGGGAGGCTGGTTGCATAGGGGGTCAGTCCCTGGGTGGGGGACTGGATTCTGGAGGGGGCAGTCCATGGGGGCGGGAGCTGTTCTGCCTTGGATAGGGCACCCTGTCTCTGCAGGACAGGCATTTGTGCCAGCCCAGTGTTGCGGGATCTAGATTCTGGGTGAATGGAGGACAGTCCCTAGCAGGGGGGCTGGGTGCATGGTGGGCAGTCCCATGCACCCGACAGGGCTCCCCATCTTTGCAAGCAGGCTCCGCAGCCGCACTCTCTGGGCGTTCAGTTCAGCCGCACCACCAGCAGCAGCACGGAAGTGAGGGTGGCAATACACCATGCCATGTACAGTAAATTAATTTTTAACAGTTAATGTTTTTACTTATTTAGCTACTTTAAAATGTTCTTGGTAGACATTTGCCGGTGTTGAAATGAAAGACACTATATCGATTTGAATCATATTTCTGTCATATAACAAATACTAAACATTATTTTTTTTAGATGTACAGGTAGTATATATATTGGGTGAATGTGGCCCACATAACACATACAGAGCTCATATGTGACCCACAATGATAAATAGGTTGACAACCACTGAGCTAGATGCTGCTGCCATCTGCAGGACAACAAGAGATACTGCTCTGTCACAACATAGTACATCTCTTTATCTGAACCATTTCCAGTATAATACTGTTTATCCATGCAGGGCAATAGAGTTGGGAGAAAAAGACATTACTCAAGTAATAGACACGGAATTATTTTAACAAGTATCTGTTACATGCTCTAAACTGAAATTATTAGTTGCACAATATTTATACAGATGGTAATGGTACAAACCAGCATGATCTATTACAGGAAGTTGATGCATATTCTTTTTTTTAAGTGATTTCACTTATGGAAACAGAGGAATATACCCTTATGCCCCTACCTGCTGTGGGGACATTTGCCATAAAAATCCAAGAGATTTGCTGCCTCACAGAGTTTCTGGTCCTTGTGTTCTTCTTGCACAAAGGGGATCAGTTGATGAGCCATGGAAAATAACTTCCTGCAGCTGTTTTTTTGCTAGTGTAAAGTAAAATAAGGTGATGAAGGCTTTAGTAACAATGTAAGTCTCCTTTACCATATTTTTAATGTATCATAAAGAAAACACCCACTGCACGGGATCAGCATTCAACAGTAAACCACAAACAAATTCCTAGAGCCTCCTGCTTTGGGAGTCTCAGGTAATATAGGCTCAGGAATTCATGGCCCCTTTTCCCTACTTCTGGGAGTAGTAGAGGTATGATCAACTCATGATGGGATACCCCTCTTGAGCTGCAACCTTTGCTCTTAGTTAGGGACCTGGATATCATATGGCTACTATATCACCTGTCACTCTGGGAAAAGCTTATATAAACACAAATGGTGAGTGCTCTAACCATTGGTCTAAAGGACATAAGAGGGGGTTGCACCACCAGCAGACATTTAGTGTGGGTTTAGATGTGTTCTGAGTATGTCTATGGGATTGGGCCCCAAAGGCATAGCAGGCAGAGGAACACTCAGTTTGTGAATGTGAGTTAAGCACGGAGCAGTTGGGCAGCATCAGGACTTAGGTGGCTGAGCACGTGCCCGACTGCCAAAATTTAAGCACTTTGGGGATTTTAATGGCAGAAACTTAAGCACATAGGGAATTAAGGTGCCTATAGGGCCTGGCAGCAACTGAGCAGGGGTTTTCTGAATGTCAGTGATGCCTAGATGTTGGACATTTCACCCCAGGTATCTTATTTTTAATACAGAGATGTGGCTGATAGAGACCACAGCACACCTTAGCAGGAGTTATAGCATATTAAAAGTAACCTTGTATGAAGTAGACCAACAGGTGGTAGGCGTGAAGAACTGATGTAAAGAGCTGCAGAGAGGAAGCCAAAGTGTTATTGATCTTACAAAACACAGGTATATGTTAATAGATGGCGCTTAAGACTATGTAACTATTTACGTATAAACAGATATAGAGTTCTCTCCTATGTGCTTTTGTGTGTGAGTGTGTACTTCTTTATGATATACAATGAGGGCCTGAAAATTTGTTGTCTTGTTTTTTTCTCTTGTTGCTGTGTAAAAATACCTACAAATGACACAAAACAAAACACACAACAGGGGAAACAGCAAAAAAGACTATACACAATGTGCAGATAAATGCACAAATTACATGTGCTGAAAGGAAGATTTTTCTCTTTAATCTTTTATTTATCATTTTATGTGTGACTTATGAGAGAAGATGAAATTTTTTTTAAATCTAATTATGCACTTTAAACTGATGTCTCTATTAGTCTAAATAAAAATAACTTCTCACACTTGATGACTGATGTCATGATCCTATTAGTATGCCATGAATTTAAAATCTAAAAAATGTTTAATTTCTTTTATATATAACCATAAAGAAGTAAACAAAGGGCACAATCCCAACAATTCTCCTTCCTTTTTAGGACACCTGTAATGCAGTTAGATCAGTGGTTCTCAAACTTTTTTATTGGTGACCCCTTTCACACAGCAAGCCTCTGAGTGTGACCCCCCCTTATAAATGAAAAACACATTTTTTAAAAATATTTAATTCTATTATAAATACTGGAGGTGAAATGGGATTTGGGGGTGTGTATGCTGACAACTCATGTCCCCCCACATAATAACCGTGCAACCCCCTGAGGGGTCACAACCCCCAGTTTGAGAACCCCTGAGCTAGATGCAGTACGAGTTGTTGAAAGCCTGCATTATCACACAGGTGTAATTCATAAAGTCAGGTGGTAAAATAGCTGAAAATGGTTGAGAATTTAAAAACTCTATGGTAACAAATTGCAAAGCCCAGTGATGATTGAACTTGCTGATATTCTAACCAAAATTAGCTCTCTATCATACTTGTTGCTGTATCCGTCACTTCACACAGACTTGAGACACAGTCTAGGCTTCAGTGATACATGTAGAAAGTGACAATCGTGGAAGATTTGTTTTGATTTGTGTGAGTGGTGAATAATGATGTGTGTAAGGGTGAGGGAATGTGAGTTTGGGGCAACTGCATGGGCTGGTTGTATTGTTTTGAAGAAACAGTTAGGCCCTGTAATCCGCTATGTGTGCAGTCTCCTCCCAGACAACCCATGGGACTGTTGTAT